TATGGTTGCCTGAGTCTCAGATTTGTGGTGGGAAATATAGCCACTGATTAAGGAATGGAGTAGGAGTGTAATGGGAGGAGGAGGAAGAGAAGAGGATTGTTGTGCCCAGATTTCAAGGTTCCCAAAAAGCCCACCAGGGAGCCAGCGAGTCCGATGCAAAAGCAGAGTCCTTCATTTCGAACTAGTTCGGCTCCCTAACCACACTCACCGATGCAACGTAAGCCCCAGTGGCCGAGAGAGAGCAAGGCCTGATGGGATTGTGGGTTTTATAGTAAGGGCACGGGAGGGGACTATGGGCCCTGCCGATTGGCCAGGCATGATTTGGGTCTTGTTACACAGGATGTGGTCATCTCTATGGCACGCACGTCCCTTGATTGTCATTGGTTAGTTCAAAGAAATCCCGGGCGTGGCCAGCAGGGGCCTGGGCTTCCGGGAAGAAGGCACTCTCCTGAGCACATGGAGGACCCAGGGCAAGATGGAGGGCGCAGTCCTAGCCCCCTGCCCCCCCTAGGGCGAGCTGAGCCCGGTCTCCAGGGGCCAGTCCGGTTGCCAGGGGTCCAGCAGATCGACCAGTTCCAGCCCAGACAAGAAGTCCATGTCCTCCAGGCCTCGCGACGGCTCGCCCTTTCAAGGATGTGTGTGTATGTGTGTGTGTGAGAGAATTTACTCATCTGTACTGCCAACACATAGAAATAATCAGTGTTACTAGTCTTTCAAAATAATTTATTGCTTATTCTCATACCTACCTTAATTTTTGCAGAATATTTGAAAAAACGTAAAATATTATAAATCAGAAGTTTTATGATTTTGGCCTATCACCATCTCTACAAGAGCCAAAAGTAATTATAAATAAAATGTTAGTGTACTTACTTTGATTTGACATATAATGTGTGTAAACCTACAAGGTAAGTATAGATAGATGGATGAATAGATAGATAGATAGATAGATAGATAGATAGATAGATAGATAGATAGATATGGTCTTGGTTCACACAATTATGGATGCTAGGAAATTTTACAATGTGCTGTCTGCAAGCTGGAGAGCCAGGAAAGTCAGTGGCATAGTTCAAAGACCTGAGAGCTGAGAGCTGATGTGTAGATGCCAGTTTGAACTAGAAGTCCTGAAAACCATGAATGCCAAGGGCAGGAGATCAATGTCCCAGCTCACACAGTCTAGCAGAGAACAAATTCAATCTTCCTCTGCCTTTCTGTTCTATTCAAGCCCTCAACGCATTGGATGATGCCCAGCCACACTGGGGAGTGCCATCTGCTTTACTCAGTTCACCAATTCAAATGCTAGGTTCTTCCAGAAACACCCTCGCAGACACACTCAGAAATGTTTAACCGGATATATGGGCATCCTATGGCCTACTGGGCACATAAAATTAATCATCACATCCTCCTTTCCTATATTTACTCAGATGGTTTGAGATTTTGGAAAAGGGGGATAAAAAGGCTCTCTTTAACCTGACTACATAGGGTAAGATTGCTATCCCCATGTGATTAATCATCACTGTGGCTCAAGTTTGATTTCTATAGAGCTTGCGGATAAGGAATCACACTCAAGCAGCTCCCTTAGATTTTTGTGGCATCTTGGAAGACTGAGCCATATCTTGCATGTGGCTCCTAGTTGATTCTCACACAACATTCCTGTGATGTCATAGATTTCTTTGCCTTACTATGTAACTGTTTCTGGTAAGTCTATAGCTCAATAACTCCCTTCTCCCCAGCAACAACTCCAGAGCCTGTAGATATGGTAGGATTTATTTTTCACACCTCCAGAATTGGGAACTTTGGTAGGGAGTTCATTCTAGCCCTTTCTCCGCCAGGCCACACTACTACATAATCTCGGTAAAAATGTTCTTTCTACGCTCCTATAGCATCTATGTATCTCAAAACCCCAGTGATGAAGCAGATATCTAGCAGAGGAATAAAAAGTAAATTGTGCCACCTTGTAGATATCCCTAAACTTTATGTATAATTCTTTTATGATCCCACTCCATTGGCTTTGGGAATCAAGGGTTAACTATCTGTCATATTTATAAGAAATAAGGAGAGGGGATAAATTCTTCTTACAAACACTGTACTTCCTCAAATATAAGCCCACTCTTCCTTCCCAATACTACATCGCCCTTCTATTATTTCAAGGTAAGAGCGATCAAACCAGTTTACCCTCTTTTTGTCCTTAGGGCACATGAGTCCCAAACTGAAACTCTTGTATCCTAACTTAGTCTTGGAAATTTTTCAAATTTTGTTCTTAACATGTTGTTATCTTTCTCCAACTCCTCAGAAAACTTTAAGGGACAAGAAAATATCTCAATCAATACCTCATAACATTTTAGTAAATGTAGCATTTCCAGGACAATTTTTACTTATCTTTAAAACATCACTTCATTACAACCAACTTCCTACATAGCATAACATCTAATGTGGAACAATATACAAATGTATATTTTCATCCAAGAAAATGTGGTGGTTTCAAACAAGACTTTTTCCATATGGGTCAAAAAGACAATAGCAAAACATTTAGCCACTGAAAGAAATAAAACTCCAATTGCTAGACTTCCAATTGGGAACTTTGAAAGTCAATGGTTATGTCACAGTGGTTTCTCTACTTGAAGAGGTTTCTTTCTGGGTAATTCTTAATTTTCATAAATGCTTTTGTGTCTTGCTCTAAACACAGTTTCTTGAATGAAGAACAATTCTGTTGTGGATGCATTCAGTCAACAAATATTCACTAATCATCCACTTGGTACAAGGAACCTAGTCACTGGTTATGCAAAGTAGAAAAAAAAGATGTGTTGGGTCCTCATGGATTTTAAAGACAAGTTGATCTAGCTAAGGAAAGAATTCAACTATGCCTACTCTTCAAATTTTGTTAGAAATCATCTAATAATGGTACAAAATGTGTAAACTTTTATTGGCAATTCATTAGGCTCTGTGGTAAGTACTTGATAAATGTGATTTACTTCTTCTAACAACGCGTTTTACAAAGGAAGCACACACCTTGATAAGTAATTGACCCAAAGGTACACATCAAGTTAGTAGCAGCCAGGACTTTTATCCAGACAGCTCATGTTTCTAATCAGCATCCTTTCAGCCAATATTACTAATAGAGCTATTTGTATGGAGTACTCTGTGAGACAGAACCCAGAAATCACTAGCATCCCTTTAAAAGATAATTATTAGATGTGGTTTTGTAATTTGAGCTTTTGGGACTACGTGCTAATATATCTATTGGAAACACCAAGGAGGAATATATCTGCCAAGAAGGACTCCTTGTGGTAAACTGGACCTAAACTCATAATTAGAGTCTAACAGTCATTGTTTACAGAGTCTCTCAAGCAAAATACGTATCAGGGAAAGCTGCAGACTGAGTTGTCGAGCCTCCTGTATCGTGTTACTTCTGGCTAAGACAACCCTATAAAGGAGCTCCTGCAATCATATTTTGACCAATGGCCCACCCAATCAGAGTTATGCAGTCATATCTTCATTTGCATATTTACCAACCAATCAGAACACCTTCATAATGACAAACCAGGAAGCACAATTCTGACCAATCAGAACAATGCTATTTGAACCAATCAAATTGTGCAAATTTGAATCCCTCATTTCCATAAAAATGGAACGATCAGGGATCAGGGCATTCACTATTTACTTATAAGTAGACCTCCTCTTTTTCTTGGGGGAGCATACTTTTGGTTTCCACCTAAGGCTGCATTAGCCATTTTTGCAAACTGTTCACCTGAATGAAGTCTATCCATTTACCACAGCCCAGATTGGGGATTCATGTTGGCATTGGATTGGTGGCAGTGACCTTCTATTGACACCATACGTCCCTAAAAGCATGTGTGTGTGTGTGTGTGTGTGTGTGTGTGTGTGTGTGTGTGTGTAAAACTTTATATATCTCCAAACTATATATGCACTAGACACATACTCTTCCTTTATTCAATGTCCCAGCTAGTTTAGCAGGATAGGAGATTACGTAGGAGTTTGGAGCCAAACCTAGCCTTTTTCTGGCCTCTCTTGCCTCAGTGCATACAACTCTTTTGGTTGCTTTATCACAAATAATACCTCCTAATTATTTTTTTATAATAGTACCACTTTTCTAAAGACATCTCTATTTTCTAACTGTGATAATTTTTTTTAGTTATTTCAAGTTGGAGAAAGGAACATTTACATTCAAGGTGAGTTTCATTCTCAAGTTTAGTTACTTCACTTACGTCCTGCTTATTTTTAATTTTTGAAACATTCACATCAAAAGGCTTTGAAACTTACTTCTGTATATTAGGTACTTAACCTCTGAGATCATTCTAAAGAGATATCTGTAGGGGTGGTTTGGAAGGTTTGGAAAGAACTCTGTAAAAAACATCACACAAATTTACATAAAATGGCGAAGGTCTGACAACTGGACTTCTCCCTGAAGATTTACTTCACAGATAATTTTGAAAACACCAACTGTGTTCAGAAAGGTGCGGCCCTCTTGCAAAACGAAACTTTGAAACAAGCTAGTATGTTTCAAAAGTGATTTGATGTTGTATGGAGCCAGAGAAAATATTTTCTGTGTGGTACAGGTGAACATAATCAAACAATGAGGCTTTTTCGTTCTGTGGAATGAAGCATTTCTTTAAAAATGAAACCTCATAATTTTTGTTTTGAGGCATGTTCACTTTAAAAAAAAGAAAAGAAAACTAAGAGATTATTGGGAAGGCTATATATACAACCCACTCTAACTCTTTGCCTAGGTTTCTGACAAGTCCCTTGCCCCCTCCCTACCCTAGTCCTCATTCTAAATTTCCTAGAAGGGTATAAATGCAGGGGACAAGGTGGAAAATGGTGGCTGTGCTTGTGCAGGGAGTGCGTATGTGTGTGTGAGGTGGTGGCCAGCGGGAAGAGGACAGAAAGCAGAAAACGCCAAAACCAAGGCCTGGGGCGGGAGTGGGAGTGGGTGGAGGGTGTTGCAGAACCGCCTAGGTAAACAGAGAAGGGCAAATTCCAACCCCAGGAACGTGATGCCACTTGTGGGCCCTCAGATTGGATAGGACAGAGATGAGTGAGAGGGTGGTGCCTGCTGGGCCCCCGAGCACAAACCGCAGGAGGGGGCTGAATGTACGAGTGCATGAGCCGGGGGAGGGGACGCGCGCTCCTGCAGCACTGGCCTCGGGAGTTGGGGGGCGAGCTCCTTGGTGACGCGAGGCCCTCACGTGACCGGGAGCTGCAGAGGGACGCAGCCTTCGGTGCAGTCGTCACTCCCTTCTGGGTACCAGCGCCCCGCTGTACTGCGCGCGGCGGGCTGGCACCGGCCCAGGGCAAGCGGAGCAGGTAAG